TCTGGTAGCATAGTGCCTAAAGCACTTGACTGCTAACCAGAAGGCTGGCGGTTCAAACCCACCAGCCACTCCTCGGAAGGAAGGTTGAGCAACCTACTTCCGTAGTGATACTGCCTTGGAAATCCAGGGAGGGGTCGCTGTGAGTCAGGTTCAACTCGACGGCACATAACAACAACAACATATCTCCAGATATCTTTCATTGTTATAAGGATCAAATGAGATCTGGATATTTGCTACTGTGAATGAAGACAGTCTGCATAAGGCTGCAAGCATATGCTCACACAACATCTACATTTGAATGGGTACCATTTTTAATTTTCAGATAGAAAGCTGAAGTCTACAATACCTTTTAAATTGAATCAAGCTATTCTCAAAGATATTTCTTGACCAATTAATAAAATTTTTAGAGGCCTAATGAATTCACAGATTTTTAAATAATCTAGTTTATGAGAATCTTCACAACTGGATCAAAAAGCAACATCATAATAAATGGAGGAAAGGTTGAAGTTTTCAAGGATTTCATTTTACGTGCATTCACAATCAACACCAATGGAAGCTGCAGTCAAGAAATCAAACGACACTTTGCATTGGGCAAATATACTGTAAAAAAACCTCTTTAAAGTATTAAAGAGCAAAGATGTCACTTTCAAGACCAAGGTGTGCCTGACTCAAGCCATGGTATTTTCAATAGCCTCATACACATGAGAGAGCTGGGCAATCAATAAGGAAGACCAAAGAAGAACTGATGCATTTGAACTGTGGTGTTGGCAAAGAATACCGAATGCACTAGAAGAATGAACAAATTCTGTCTTGGAAGAAGTACAGCTGGGATGCTCCTTAGAAGCAAAAATGACCGTGTTGTCAGAAGGGACCATCTCTGGAAAAGGTTATGCTTGGTAAAGTAGAGGGTCAGACACAAAGGGGAAGATCCTCAACAAGAAGGATTAACACAGTGGCTGCAACAATTGACTCAAGCATGGCAATGATTGTGAGGATGGCGCAGGAATGAGCAGTCTTTTGTTATGTTGTACACAGGGTGGCTATGAGTCAGAACCAACTGGACGGCACCTAACAACAACAAAGCTTATGAGAAATCTAGTTAGAGGCAGTAATGGCATTTATTTTTCTAGATGGAACCACATTGCTGCTTCATGTGTCCATGACCTTTAAACAACATTGCTCATATAATTAAAAAAGCAAGAATTATCATGACTCTTTCTTGTTTGCCACCTTTTTGGTTAACAGCCAAGTGCTTAACTAACCTTTCCTAGTTAGCATATTTGACTGGCTTCTCTCAAATGCCTCCATTAGTATCTGTTGATATCTGTAGTGGGAATAACAACTACTATGAAGTATGGAAAGCAATTTGACAATGATGTAACAAACAGCTCAGTCATCTCACATCCATAGTCATCTACCCAGCAATTCCTCTTCTAGTAATTTAGAATGTGAAAATAATCTGAAATATGGACAGAGATTTACTTACGAGAATATGTGGTACAGCAAAATTTAGAATATATATTCAGTAATACACTAATCGTACTCTTTTTTTTTTTTTCCCTGACAGTGTCCATATTCTAGGGTAAACAAGGGGGCCCCTTAGGTAATAGGTGGCATCAGAGCTCCTGAAAGTCAAGGGAGAAAGTGGGGACTTTGGAACTATTACTTTCTGCTTTGTCCATGCCTAGGAATCTTAGTCCCGGGTGTCCTACACAATCACCTTTTACATTTCCTCCTCATGGCCTCTTCCCTTTTCTTGTCATTGTCATGACTTTTGGTTTCAGATCAAGGTTTCTGATCATCTTCTTCTTCTTGTTGGGTGCTGTTGAGTCATTTTCAACTCATAGTGACCCCACGTGACAGAGTAAAACTGCCCCATAGGGTTTGGTTTTCTTGGCTGTCATCTTTACGGAAGCAGATTGCCAGATCTTTCTCTTGTGGAACTGCTGGGCATGTTCAAACCATCAACCTTTTGGTTAACAGATGAGTGCTTAACTGCTGCGCCACCAGCACTTTTTTTTTCCTGATTTCCTTAGCCAACAGCAAACAATAGTACAATTTTAGTTCTGCTCTTTGTGTCCCAAAGATCTAGGGTCCACTCTGCTTTAGATCATGCAGCGGTCTGCCCATTGTTATTTCACTTAAGAAAAAAATAGGGCTTTTCAGCATTGATCATGAGGCTGGAGCAAAGGTGAGAGGATAGGGAAGAGTAATGGAAATTAGTATTTTCAAAACACTATGTGGGATGATGGGGGAAACTAAGGAAGGACATACTGCTCTCTAAAGGTGATTCAATAGGGAATAAATAAGCAAAAGGCCTTCATTGTTAATGCTTTTGTGACATGAGGGACATATAGTACCCACCTACATTTCCCACTTATGGAGGTTAGTGGGAATATGCTGGCCCACTTTTCGTGCATGCTGCCATTTGATGGGGGTCAGCATGAATCTGAAGAAACAGGTCTCATCCCACCAACCCCAGCACCTGAGACCACTTGAAACTACCATATTTGTCTTTATTGTTTTTTAATAGTAAATTATAAGCAACTTAAATATAACTAGGGAGATAATTTAGCATATAATGGCTCCTTTATAAAATGGAACATTTTGTGTCCTTAAAAATGGTGTTTCAAAGGATATATTATATACATATTCTGGCACATACCTTTTGGTATCGTTTTTGGTAGGAGAAATAGGCCTTTGTTAATCTCATTTTATTCTAAGGGCTGAGACCTTTACTTTTCACTTAAATCTTTCTTTACTCTTTGAATTATTATCTAAATGACCAGGTATTACTTTTGTTAAAAAAAAAAAAAAAAACAATTAATGAAAATTTTTAAAGAGTACATGGGAAAATAATGAAGGGAAAAATGAGAAATATAAAGATTGCTTATATCGTAGATTTGAGAAAAATATTAGACTGAAATATATCAAATATTACCAATTATTTCTCTACTTCTTATTCAAAGGAAAATATGTCTTAAAATATTAGGTAGTTAAAATGTATTAACTTCTTTTCTAGTCTAACTTTTTTAAATTTAATATTTTTTCCCCAGTAAACATCAAATGGAGTCTCATTTTTCTTTGCTGAAATAATCAAATATTTAAGAGGGTCAAGGGTTAATTTGCTTTTTTAATTGCTATTTTAAAAATCTCAAAAGAGGGACTGAACTTCTGTGAAAGTAGATTTGGTCAAAATATAAAACATGTTTTGCAGTGTATTTTGGTTATATAAAAACCAAACACCAAGAAGTCATTTTCAGATGAGTTAAAACTTAATAACGGACTTAGTCTCCTGAGCCAAACTATGCTGTATTATTCTCTATCTCCACCTTAGACATGTAAAGGACAGTATTTTGCACAGTGTGGAAATTAAGAGCACAGGCTCTGGACTCATATTGCCTGGGTTCATGATCCTGGCTCCAACTTTTACTGGACGTGTAACCTTGGGCAAGGGATTGAAACTTTCAGTGCTTTGGTTTCCTCATGGATAAAATGGTACTTGCCTCGTTGGATTGTTGTGAGGATTAAATGAACGTATATGAAGTGCTCAGAACACTGCCTGGCACAAAGTAAGTGCTTAATAAGTGTGTGTTGTTGTTATTATTACTACTACACTTTTGTTGTTGTTGTTATGTGCCGTCAAGTCAGCCCTGACTCATAGCGACCCCTCCTTGGGTTTCCGAGGCAGTATCACTACGGAAGTAGGATTGCCCAACTACTACACTAGGCACCTGATTTCAGAAGCGGTCTGCTCTCTAGTAATTAGATAACTAAGCATTGCAGAGTGGGTCATGCTATATACAATATAACGTGATATTATATAATATAGTGCGCAGAGCCCCTAAGGGGTGCAAATGGTTAATGCTCTTGACCACTAACTGAAAGGCTGGAGTTCAAGTTCATCCAGAGATGCCTCAGCTGAAAGGCCTAGAGATCTACTTCTCAAAACATCAGCCATTGAAAACCCTGTGAAGCACAGTTCTATTCTGACACATGGGGCACCATGAGTTGAGGCTGATTCCACAGCTACTGGTTTTATACATCAACATCTACAGAACCACTATCCCCCATATGTCAGACTTCAGCACAGAAGAGTAAAGAATACATAAAATCTCACCAGAAGACCATTTCAGAAATGAAAACTCATCATTTAAAAACTATTTCTACAGAGAAAGATGAAAGTAGAACTTTCTTCTACTCAAGTTGGACACATGTGAGAGGTGAATGGAAGCAGTATTTAGTTGGATTCTTACATCACATACTTGCAAGGTCAAAGACACAATGAGTTGTTAGATAACTCAATTTATCTTCCTGCAGTGTGTTCTTTGGTACTGACTGCATTCTTAGTCACAGCCAGTCACCTCACAAGGGTACTTTGGGATACTATCAGAGGAAACTATGAAGAGCAGGTAGAGATAGGTATGTATACACACACACACACACACACACACACACACAGGTACACACACACATATATACCTTTATTTTTGATATAGGGAAAGTATGTCAAGTAACATCTTACTGATAGTGGGGCAGGAGCACAATTTGACCCAAATCACTTGATAGAGCTTTCTATATGCAAAGCAAACACCATTTTAAACAAAGTTACATATGTCATTACTTCAATTAGGATTGGATTGGCCTTCTAAAAAGGAAAGGAAAAGGACAAAGGGAAATGTAAAAGTAAGGAAAAAGAAGAGGGCATTTGTCATTTTTTTTTTTCATGTTTGGATTTCACTGGATAAAAACAGTGAGAGGGATAAAGAAAAAGAGCCTGGGTTACCCACAGCCTTTACCTAGCAAACCTCTGACTTCTCTTCTAGTATTCAACATGTACAGTGACACGGTCACAGCCTTATGTCACTGGCATTTCCTGTTTGAAAACTGCAAGTATAGGGTGAAGAGGAACAGAGACCAAGACTAAGGAAAGTAAAAATTCTTTCAGTCATCACCACCATCCTCCCCTGTCTCATGGAAGATCAAAATATCAGTCTTACCTCCACTAAGAATAATGACAGCTATAAATATTGCCAAGTCGCTGTCATCTAATTCCAGTGCATTGAATTTCACAGCAAACTCAAACTTGGGCTCCATAAAGTCACCAAAGGGCTTCCGCAGGCTCTTTAGAAACTCCCTGGTCATGAATCCTTGGCCCTCTGAAATGAGAACCCCATCTTTATTCATCAAGGATGCCAGCATCGTGTATATTATCTCATGGACGCCATACTTCAGGAGAGTTACTTGGTCATTCAAGTCAAGGTTCACAAAACCAGGAATGCTTTTGGCATACTCTGTGATCTCTTGCACAGCCTCCACCGAGCGGAACTGACACCCCTGAAAGATGCGAATGGCCACCTCTTTGCTCTGCTCCTGCAAGGGGGTGATGTGTTTGAACTTGATTTTATCTTCTCCCATCATTAAGGAATTCATGTCATAGATAACAAATGGCTGCAAATAAAAGATGGAAAAAGTGGCTGAGTTGGAAGTTTCTAATTCAGAGCAAATGCCACCCCCATTCGGAAAACCATTTGTTTATACACATTTGCATCGCTAACTAAAAAGATTCTTTAAAGTTGAAGGCACTTAATAATGAGGAAATACTCTTATCTTCTAATTATTCATTCTAAGCATCTGCTGGGACCAAACATATTTCACCAATTTTGGTCTTTTTCCTTTCAACTTATATTGGACTACTTTTCCTATGATTGGCTAATAGTTTCAATTCTGTTGTTTGCAGAGTCCTTTATTGCTGATTTTTAAAATGATACCAAACCTATCATTTCTATTGACTTTCAATGGAATACATTTTTAACCTTATTTCCATAAAAAATCATTTTAGCAACTCAGGGTTAAAATGCCCACTTGAACATCAACAAAGTAATCTTGCAATTTAAGATGAAGTCATTTCAGATTGCAATAAAGTTTGCATATGAAATCTACTTAGCTATATAATAAATCAGTCTGAAAGCATATTAGATAATATTGAGCCAAGGAAATGTCTATTTCTTTCTTCTTTTTTTTAAAAAATGTTTTGGAAGCAATCAATTTCAGAAAGAGCAGATGTAAAGACTGTGGGTAAGCACTGCAGAAGGCGGTGAAATAAAAAAGGGATTTGAACTCCCTCAAACAAATATCTGTCCTTAAGTTTCAATCATACTTTCAACATTAACTCAGGTTTGCAGTAGACTACTTTCAAAAGCAACTTGTGTTAGACATGAAATTATCTCTTTTTTATTTCCCTGTATAGAACTAACCAACAATTTGTGGTCATGGTGAAATGCTCAAGGCTATTCTGAGAAGGCACAACGCTTTATATACATCAAATATACCGAAATATGTAAGGCGTGAAACCCCCAATCCTATTCAAATAGCTGTATACCTAAAAGCAGTGGAATGAGAGCTGAGGAGATCTGGGTTCTAGTTTTGAGCCTGTGCCTAACTAAGTGATTTTAAGAGAATCACTTATCTTCCCTAGGCCTCAATTTTCTTGAGGGAAGTGGATTAAATTGGGGGTTTCCATCTCTTCTTTTGTGGAAATTCTAGTTGCACTTTCCAGAAGCAGTATGTGCCTGTGTGTGTTTATGTGTATGTGTGTGGATGGTTGTACGTGAGTGCGCATATATGTGAATGTGCAGGGAGCTCTGGTGGTGTAGTGCCTAAGACATTTGACTGCTAACCAGAAGGTTGGCGGTTCAAACCCACCAGCCACTCCTCAGAAGGCAGATTGGGCAATCTACTTCTGTAGAGATACCACCTGGGAAACCCAAGGAGGGGTTGCTATGAGTTCAATCAACTCATGGCAGTGAGTTTGGTTTTTTTTGGATGCATACATGTATATACACTGAACAAGATACCTTTGATGGACTAAAAATAAAGTTTCTTGCAAGTAGAGATGCTGAGAATTGTCTCCTGAATTGCAAGAGGGAGGGAGTGCACTGTGTGGCCAGTTTCAAGACTCACTGGTTTGGAGATTCTATTAGCCATATGAGTCTATGATTTTAACCAAATTGCTTGGTCTGTTCTAAACTGGAGAAACTAACACTAATATTAAGGATTCTTTGGTAGTGGATCAATTTCCACAGTTGCGTATTATTCCAATACCATTTATTGGAGTTATTTTTGTTAGCAAAAAATTCACTTTTGTTAGCAAAAAATTCACTTCAATTGTATTGTTTAGTGAACCCCAAAGGAAGACAGCCATGATGACCCCAAGGCAAGTCTGCCTGGTGGCTCTAACCCACACTTTAAGGGAAGCAAGAGCACAGAGACACTACACATTTTCCTTTAACCAGCTGTGCTGACTGTGCTTCTTAGAAAATTTACTCCCCACCCCCTTCAGAGCTGATGTTATTTATTAATGGAAGAGAAAAGAAGGGCAGAGGGGATAGTCAAATCATATCGATGATAATTTATTGAGTTTCCCATCATAGTAGACTCTAATCATGACAGAAATTTGGACAGATAACGATGCTTGTACAGAACCTAGAGAAAATGTGGTTTTTGTCCTCCAGGAGTTTACAGTGTTTTACAATTTATGTTAGTGAAACACTGTCTGTCTTTCCTGTCATGAGAATATGATGGTGTGAGTACTGGTAAGTCTAACCGCACACGCACAGAGTACAAACACCAGGACTAAAATCATCGCCTCTTCACGGGTGGAAGAGTATACCCTGAACTGCCCACTTCAAGTTTCCGATGATCTTGTGCTCAGCCATTTGGCATCTTGGCACAGAACGTATGCACAGATTCTTTCACCTCCATGTAAGCAATTTATCTGGAACTGTGCCCTGATAAATCACCCTTGTGACTCTTCCTTTTACTTCCCCTGTCCCCTCATATAAAGCCCCAGGTTCCTGTTTTTGAAACTCTGTGATAGTTGAATACGGAGCATAAAGTCCTGCTAATTTTCTCTCCCAATTTAACAACAATGTAACTTTTAACCCCTTGGCAATCATGTTGGTCAGGATTTCCTGGCAGTAAACACTCAAGGACAGGGAAAGGAATCAGCAGTTCCACCATCAGCATTCTGAAAAAGCAGTGAGCTGGCAGAGAATCCTGGGTATTGACATGCAAATAAATACCAGGTAGTGCTCTTTGTTTTTCCTAGTTATATCTGATTATGCTGTTTTCACTATATTTCTGAAACCAGCATAGATTCTTTCAGCCTCCACGTGGCTCTATCAAACTGTATGAGGGATTAGACTCCATCTACTACCTTGAGATCTTTCCTTGCAAGCAATTCATCAATTCTGATACTGCACTTAACGTGCACATCACTTTCACATTTCACACTGGGACCTCCTCATCCTAAAGCTGGTGCCTTGCCTGCTTTACTGACGGCTCACCTGGAATTTGGGTAGAATTTGGAATTTATCGTGAATCTTTAATTTCATCTTGCACTCTTGGTAAAATACCCACATAAAATATGCTGCACTCTCATGTTTGTATTTTTTACAAAGTAAAGTGAAATCCTTACATTTTGAAATTAGCTTGTACAGTATCACTGATGACCTGCCATTATTGGAGGAGCTATGTCATTTTGCAATTTTGTCTTAATGATTCTATATTCAATTTGGGGCTATCAACATCTGTCTTCAGATACCACATCAAATGGCTAGATGAGCATGTCTTCAACAGGAAAGAAAGCTTAATTACATCTAGGCTATTTATCAGGGATGTGCCACGTTTTGTGGGGCTGAGATGTATACTATTGCTGAGGTCCTCTTTAAGGAAAATAAAGTATGAAGACAAAATTGTGTGGGTCCTTCCCAGAACCATGGAAGGGGCTCTGGGTAAAGGAATGGCCCTGAAGCATCCTTAGTTTCATGGTCAATCTGCCTCTGGCTGTTAAGATGCCTGTCCTTTCACATACTGGACAGATTAGATAAAGGTGAGAATGGAACGAAAAAACTGTACTTCAACACAATCCCTGCCCGGCTCTGCACCACCACTCCCTAGCACAAAGATGGTTTCTTTAAAGAGAAATCAGTTTTCTCTGGAGAGATACATCTAATGTAGTTTATTTTGATATCATATATTTTGAATTTCAAAATGCAGGTCTACATATCAAAGCCAGAATGGGATTAAGGCATTGTTTTATACAGGTGATTACATTTAGTTACTGATCTATTGCCTGCCTCTTCTGTATTAATACAGAGTGGGAGACACTAGCTTAAGGACAAATATAAAGTAGAACAATAAAAGTTTACTTTTTAAGGAGCTCTGGTGGCACAGTGCCTAAGGCATTTGACTGCTAACCAGAAGGTTGGCAGTTCAAACCCACCAGCCACTCTGCGGAAGGACAATGGGCAATCTACCTCCTTAAAGATTTACCCCTTGCAAACCCAGTGGGAGTTGCTATAAGTCAGTATGGACTTGGTGGCAGTCAGTTTGGTTTGGAATCTATTGGGGATATCCTGTTACTCTTCATTTTCTCTGACAGACTAGTGGGACGGGTCAAGGAAGACCCTTCCTTGTGCTGTTGAGTTGGCCCCGACTCATAGCGATCCCTCCTTGGGTTGCCGAGGCAGTATCACTACGGAGCTATAATAGGTGAAAGTTAATCCAAAATGCATTGTGATTTGGTTGTTTAACCTCTTTCTGGTTTCTGCCCCTATTGTTCCCATTTTCCTTTTGTTGAGAACCATGGGGTGACAGAACTGAAGGGGTCTTCAGAAATAATCTACACCACCATCCTCTGCCTAGGTATGAACAAACTGAGTCCAAGAGAAGTAAATTGACTTCCCAAAGTCAAACAGTTGTTTATGGCAAACCCTGAACTAGAACTAGATTTCCTGACTCCTGGTGGAGGGTTCTTTGCTTTTTCCCCCTCTCCTCCACTGGTTTGTGTTTCACTTCCTAACTTTTATCATTTTCCTTTTTTTTTTTTTTTTTTTTTAAAGAAAGTGAGTGTCTTGGGAGAAATTGTGGCTTTTATGCTGAAGTTCTTGTATCCTGAGATCTTGGAGGCAGTCTTTTGAACTATAAAATTTCTTAGAGGTGCTAGTCCAGTATTGTGTATGATAGAAGTTTGAAAGCCTATCAAATGTGATTTTGTTTTCCTACATGATTTAGAGATTTAAGGCAAACAAATAAAACTTAATAAGAATTATTCACACTCTAATAAGCTTGCACACAGCCATAGCTCTTAAAAGGCATCTATTGCTAGCCAAAAAGTTACTCAGCTGGCAAACAGCGGCATTGGCCCAATCATTAAAAAAAAAAAAAAAAGGCTTTTCTTCTTAATTCTATAAAATGTTATCTTTTTAATTTGTTGTATGAAAGAAGACTATTCAGATCTGTTTTATCTTTAGCTATTCCTGACAGCCCTGGCAATGAAAAAAAAATTGTTTTCCTTTATTAATATTGATATAGGAGACTGCTTCAGCACTTTCTTTGATTTCTACCAGAGTTCCTATGTCTCTTTTCTCTGAAGGCCTGCCTGGTAT